TCGTCGGTCGTCGGTCGTCGTTCGTCGGTCGTCGGTCGTCGGTCGTCTGTCGTCAGTCGTCGGTCGTCAGTCGTCGGTTTGTGTCACTCTAATAAAAATGTAATAACCAATACAATACAAGTTATAAAAATAAATTGATCTTTATTTAAGTATAATAGTAGGTAGGTATTATTATAACAAATTGAAAATTACAATCTACCAACAGTTTCCTTTCTATGTATTAGCACGATACGGATTTGCGTTTAAAATCACGGGCACTGCTAGTTGGTATTAGGTACATAAATGAAACAAAAGTTTTATATGAAACGTTTTATTGCAAATGTAGACCTAGGGCCCATATCAGACAACGTACCTACTTTCATTATTTATTGATTTACCAGACTTTCTCAAGTCATGGTTACAGATTCATTTAGTTGAACTCTTCGCGGTTATCAGATGCATGAACTGAAATGTCGTTCCAGAAACTCAAAAAGTCTACTGCGTTATTGTAAACTAAGCAAAAATGAAGATAAGATAGTTGCAGAAACCATCTCGTTACACCACGACTTACCGTCTCATGGTATAATGTGAGGATGAATCGTGAAAAAGTTTGTATCAACAGTCATTCATTGGGAAATCTTTACAAGGATTACCGTGTTCCATAAGATTGTTCGGCAGGGCTGTAGGTACACTGTACAGCCCATACGAAAGGTCAAAAAAGTAAAATAATTTGTGCATCTGGATATATTAGCAAGGGATGGTGCGTAGGACGGTGACATCGAAAGGAGTGCGAAAGCTGGTAGTCAGGTAAATGGAGCTCACCACGCAATTACGGATAGCCAGAACGTTTTCAAAAAGGCGCGTCTGACGACTAGTCACCTGGGCGCTCTGGTGCCAACCCTGTACGGTAATGATGATGAGTGCGGTATAAGATCGACACAAATTAATAGAGAGAGAGATTGGAAAAAATCGCCCTCGAAGTACCTACTTCAAGCAGGTTGATGAACAAATGGGCTTTTGTAAAGTGTATAAGTATAAAGATTGATGCGAAATAGGACCGCCAGGAGCGCAGCGTGGAGGTCTGCCTAACGCAGTTGTATTTCTTATGCAACTTCGAACAATTTGACAAAGTTCACGTTGGTCTTATTAGCCCCCACGCCATGGTTCGGAACGAGACTGGACAAACCATGTTATATTCCCCTTTTCAAATTTTGCACTTGTTACTATAACCAGTGAGCCTGTGAACCGATGATGTAAGTAAGTATATCTACTACAAGCCTGGAAAGGTTCCTATCTGTACAGTCATACGAAATATACTTAAATAAGTACATTTTAATTTACAATATAGTTTGTTGTCGGCAGCGAAAAGGAGTAACAGCGTTCACAAAGTTGTGTAAATCGTGCATTGTATAAATAAGCACTGCGAAGCCGGGCAACATAAAATGTACGTGATTCTAGTACAGTTCGAGGGATCTCCTGCGTTTACTAGTACAGACTTTGTTATTGTTTATTGAATACTACAATAAAACAATTTGATAAATCACATAATAGAGTACGCATCTTGTTCAACCACGTTGTCTATTCTATTTTACGCATACATATTTTCTTTAAAATAAGCTGGTCATATTATTTAGGCGATCTACATCAACACAACGTAGGTACGCGATTGTCGCTATGTGGAGCGAATGAGAAAATATTGAAGAGACAATCGGTCGCAGAGAATACGTCTCACGACGCGCAAACGTTGATACCGTCTGCTCATTTGATTATAATACGACATACACAACATTTCAGACCAATCTTGATAACTATCTACATAACACATTATACACTAGTTACGCAAACGGTTACAACACTGTACGCCGTTACGGTTACGGTTATGTATTTTGTTTTCTCGCCATACAAAACAAATTATCGAGTAGGTATAAAATATATATCGGCACATCAAAAGATATACGACGTTGGAACAAGGCATGTAGGTAGGCAGTTCAATATATTTCTATGTCACATTACCTTAAATAACTAAGTAGGCGTTATTACAATTATTTACTATAGATTTATCTTAACTGTACATAAAGCTGAGCTTTGTATAGAATAATAAATAGATAATTAGGTAGTCGACACTCTCAGATGACGATACATTCGTGGGGGAACACCAAACCTCGCGTGGGCACTGTTGGGCAGGCTGAAAACAGATTTCGTTAATATTATTTGATGTCAGATGAAATAAATACATACAAGCATCACAGTAAGGTCAAATTCTAAAGGTCGTCTAAACGATCAAAGAACCTAAAATAAATAAAGAATAAAAAAGCGTGTATTGCCGATTTACTTTACGATACACACCATTTTCGGACATTCCAATAACACTATTTCGTGGTTGATAGTTTTACATGATTTTGGAAACATTAGAGCTCCTTGTGAAAGAGTTTGTCCAGGAATGTACTGCCACCTTATTTCAGCCTGTTTGGAAGGGTGCTGGCATTGACTTACAATTATATGGACGTCGGGTCCGCGCTAAAAAGTGTCCGAACTTATAGGGCGTTAAAATCGTATACAGAGCGACATTCACGCTTTAGTCTTCGTTTGTTTCTTCTGACAGCGAAGCAAGCAAAATTAGACAGTACTGCGATGACATTACAATTTAAATTCAACGTTTTAGCTTTTTCATATTCCTTTAAATGTCACTACGTTTAAATGGGTTGACTTGGGACATTTTTTTCGTGGATTTTGTATTAGACCCGTCGTCCATTTATTTGTAACTCAATGGGTGCTGGTGAAATTACAGGCACATAGGGCTTGTCAACTTATATCTCAGGGTTAAAGCCCTGAGTTGCACTGCGGTTGCAATAGACAGGCGCCAGGGTCAATTGGTGTCGTAAAAAAAAGAATCCGAAACTTTAGTTCAACTGGACCAATGTGGTGGTTCTGAAAGATTACATGTACTACGTACCTAACATATGAAATAAAGTAAATACCTAATAATGAAATGACATAAGATGTATCATCTTCTAATGAAGCAAGTCTTGACTTGACTCTACATTAATGTTCATAACGCCATGCGTCGTAGACCGAACATTATCTATACGGATTTATACGGATATTTAACCGAGTTCAAAAAAGGAGGAGCTTCTCAATTCGACTGCGTTTGTTTTTTTTAATGTTTGTTACGCGATAACTCCAATAATTTGTGAACCGATTTGGATAATTCATTTTTTATTGGAAAGAGAGTACCTCGGTAGTGGTCCCATTTAAATTTTAAGAAAATATTCCGCCCTTAGAGGTGGCAAACTAGGGGATGAAGATTTCAAGAAAACTTGGCAAATATATCATGTAATTCCACGAACTTTTGAGGTCGGTTTTTTAGTACCTATTCTGTACTGAGATGATTATTTATAAAATAGTCAACCATAATTTCAAAAACACACTGAGGGTGGCTGTTGTTTTTGTACTCGATTTTCAAAATCGACTGTTTGATTATGACACTAAAAAAGTCTAGAGCTATTTTTATATTCGCAACCCATTGCTAGTCTTGATTAGGATGTGCATGTGCATGAGCATGCAGTAGGCAAAGAGGTCGTGTCCGTAAAAAAAGGAAACAAATTCTCCCAAAATCGACGCCCACGTCCTCGACGAGGTATTGAGCAAGGCTGTTTTGAATGTTCATCCAGTATCTACTATATTTCATTAATCTCATTTGTTTGGAGGCACGAGAAAAAAGTTTCGGTGATACCGTAATATGCGATCTTCCCACTGGGGTCGGAATCACCTTCCGCCAATTGCATTTATTTATTTTATACAACTTACATTTACAGTACCTACTTATAACTAAACATGTAAGTCATAGTCGTATGTAGGTAAAGGTTTAGTCGATCACCGGCCAAAGGTAACCTGCGGAATATAAACCACAGAGCTTTGGGAGGTGACCGTCTCCAATTAGTAACCAGCGGATGTTAGATATTTTGATACAGTGTTACTGAACACGTCAATATCATTTGTCCTATTTGGCGATTCGATCACGGCAAGGGCTTCGTTGAATGGTATCTGTCTTAGTGTCATTGAGCGGGTTCAATGAAAATTGAACAGAGGGTAGGCACTTGTGCTGACGCAAGACGTAACGTGGTTTTGGCGGGATAGAAAAGGAATTTGTGCCCTATAGACCAGGGTTAATTAAATAATTTATCCTTTTATTCGGTTAAAAATATATTATAGAAGCCCCAGTTTTGTATTGTCCATTTAGTCCATTTGTCAGATTACCTTTTTCGCAGCGCATGCCGTAATAGCCGGTGCCTTCACACTTGCACGTGAAGCCGGGGTCCTGCATGGTTTGTAGGCAAATGCCTCTAATGCACGGTCGCCGAGAGCAGATGTTCGAGTTCTTCTCTACAACAAGAACAATACAAGAGACATACACTTACTAATAAAATTGTCTCGTTTGCTTCACGTTCACGCGATTAGTGAAACTTTTTCATATTTACTTATATTTAATATTCGTGTTATGAAATGCATTATACATAGTTAGTTAGATTGTTACTAAAGCGAAAAGTGAAATTCGTAAATAAAATGCAAGGCCAATTCTGCCCCACCATTTAAAAAAGTAAGTATCTGGTGACGCCACTCGTTATTTGCCTTATTAATCGGAAGAAACAAACGGTTTGGTTTTATCGGGTAGATAGTAGGCATTCTGTTTAAGTGTCTTTCGGAAAGATTAATTACCTGTGAGAACGTTCAAGCACTCGCGCCGTGATCTATAAATGTATTCTGTTTTGCATCCATATCCACAGGTGCAGGAGGTGCCATAGATTTTGCAGCCATTCTGCAGTTCTCCCGGTTCGCATGCTTCCGCATTGGCTATAAAACAACATAAAGTGAAATAAATACCGAACAGTTTAAAAGCAGGTCACCGAAACACCAAGTTTTTTAAACGAGTAGCTACTTCACATCCAAAATGCGTGTCTAGCTTGTTGGAAATGGATACGAGACAAGGGACTAATTGTGCAGAGACCCTTGTATTGATGCTGATATTAATTAGGTACGTGTCGTTCGCAAAGAGCTTACATTCGCAGCAGCAAGTTTACATAAACCCTTTGTTGTAATGTTTCCTGATAATTTTCAGGAAACCATTCACACGAATTTACAGAATAACGTACAGCATATAGCGTAGGTAACTATTTTTTCATATTTGCTTTTGACCTTCTCACTGTATTGGTATTATTTTATTGAAAAAATCACTATAATATAATCTTTAAGAAGTTACGGGAAGTTACTTAGTACAATAAAGGAATATAAAATAGAGCCGCAATTGCTTGTCCCGTATGGTGCCACCTTCATATTATTATATCGTGATGCAGTGTAGAACAGCGTCCGATAATGGCTTAAGACCTAATCTAATTATTATTGTATTTACGGGGACTTTGTTGAACAGCATATAAAATGTCGACCAATTAGTTTTGCCTAGAATGATAATCACATAATATGATATTAATACACATAAGTATTTGTTATAGTTACGCCGGAGCGATATCTGCCAACTTATCTTATGTGAAAGGTTAAAAAACTACTGGAAGTGAACAAAGCGAAGTATGAACGGAAGGCGATAGATAACGATGAATAGCTCGCGTTATTTAATATCTAACACGAGCAGCTTACTTACTATACGACCTAATTGACTTGTTATAAATCGGAGCTGCTAAAACGAAACTAAAATTACCGCTGTACGTTAAACCGCGCCAAATATTTCGCTCAAACATAGGGTGGTGAAAGACTTACAGTGAAGCGATGCGATGATGGCTACGAGCAGCAGAGCAGGTGCGGTGCGCGCGCGCATGGTGCCGGGAGACTGCGGATTCCGACTGTGGCGATAGGCCTTCCTCTGCCAGTGTGAACGCCCGACGTATCGCGCCGTATCTCGCATCCTGACTACTGCGCCATCTCCACATTCGGGTGCGCGCTTGTAGTTGTTGCATGTACTTTAATAGTTCACAATTCGTTTCTACAAATGAACAAAGAATTATTATTGGTTCTTGTCGTATCACTTAAGAATTCCATTGGGTTGACTTCATTTGATATGTGATCACAATTTCTGCAGATTGTGTAGAGGCAGTTCACATAAAATATTCGGACAGTGAAATGTGAACCTGCCCGGTAACATTTCCTCAGTAAAACTAAAATTATACTTTTAAGGTGTCGCACTCGTCGCAGTGGAATGGTCTACAATTCCCTCTGTATCGGAATATTTTTTATCAGCGAACGCGGCAATGAAAATATTGTCGAAATCGTAAGTTCATTGCCCTCGGGGAGGAGCCTCTTAAGGCGAATGCTCTAGTCGTTTGTCTCTATTTATTAGCCCGGAAGAACAGTGAACGCTATTTTGATGTAACAATTTGCTTCACTAATCGTTCGAGCTAATAACTATAACTATAAGATTAGAAATTCGTTATGTTTCGCTTGACCATATTGAGTAAGCGAAGTGTGTCTACACCGTGCAATACCTACCTACCGATATTTCTTACCAAATGCTCTTGGGCATTTCTCTAATGCCGCAATTTTCTGTGTCCATGCATTATACTTCACTTATCTGTTGACACAAAAATCTACAAAAAGACTATAGAATAGGTCGAAAGCTAACTGAAGCGCACAAACTCTTCTCAAAAAACCTTTCGGATCTAATGGAAAAAGAACCTAAATATCTAAAACCTGACAACGGTGGCGTGTCCCGAATGCAGAAACCAGCACAAAGTGTCATTTTTCTCAACATCGAAAACGTATATCAATATTAGAGCCTATGCGCACGAAGCAGGAGCCCACGACGTGCGTTTCACGACACTGTCGTTCGAATGCGCGCAAACATCGTTTTGCAAGCAAGAATAAAGTAAGAAGTTTATATATTCCATTGGAATTTACACTCGAAATTTCATGCTTCATTTCAAAACTACCTGAAATTAACAAACAAAACTAAAATTAAGACTACCTCTTATCAAAATACGCGATACGTTTGCGCGATTACAGCGCGTCTACGACGCGTATGAGTTCACGTATAGTAAATTAGATGACAGCACTTACTTATAATCTGAATTTCACAATAAACTAGAAAATAGTTTTACCAACCAATAGTTATACCAAGATTGTTGCGTGTCCCAGGCCTACGCCAAAATTCGGAGGTACTTACGAATCATGTTAGAAGCTTCGCAATTCATTCGTGTTGGTGGTCCATCACGCTCCTGCGGCTGCAGACAAAAGGGGGAAATTTGTAGCCGATTTTAGGACTTTGTGCCTGTAAGTATTTACAAGTAATTCGGTGGCTTTGGTCAAGGTTCATTTTAGAGTTCGGTGCACACGATATTTCAAAAAAAAAATTAATTGCAAAATTTATAATATGTGCTGTAACGACTATAACAACGAGTACAAACTATTTATTGGTTTTACATGTACTGTCGTTTACGCGTGATATAAAAAAAGGTATATTTTCCGAAGCCCGTGGCCTTAAAAAAACGTGGTCAAAAGAACTGCTATCGAAGCCATATTTTCATTGAAAACAAGAACTTTTATACGTTTTTTCATACACGTGTTTAGTTAATATTACCAATTTTCACAGTTTTATATTACTTAGACTTGCTTCCAGCTGAAAATGAATATCATATAATGAATAATATGAAAATGAAAATTGGAAATCAAGAAGATGAAGGAACGTGCTAGAAAAGCAAAGATAACAAGCTATCCAATTAGTTACATATCAAAAGGTGTAAAGAAAAAGATGTGACGACAGAGGTGTGGGAAGAAAAAGCGGAAGAAAAGATTTTGAAGTTGCATGAGTTACCTCGCCATGTATAAAAATTAATGAGAGGTATTGATCAAGTTCCAAAAAATGTATTGCTTTTGCAGCTACAGATTGCATTCCAATTTTTTTTTAAAAGAGTTACGGAAATACTTTGCGTGATTGAGATAAGACTGAACAGCCAACCTGACAACTGATTTTAATTAATAGTCACAAGGTGAAATTTGTTTCAGTTAAGTAAGTATAAGTTGCTGTTTATATAAATTTTAGTTTTTTAAGCTTGATTTAATAGTTAGTCATATAATGAGTGTTTATGTACATTATTGAATGTTCTTATTGCCTTTCTCATAGTATTTTATACAAAAATTATGCCTTTTCTTAAATTATCCTGATTCCGGTGGTAGCTGAATTCTGTGGATCAAAATATGTCACTCTTAACTGTTAAGAGTTTAGTTGCCCAATTAACGGAATCTTATTTGAATTCCTTTTCCTTCCTGCTGAATGTTTCTCCTGAAATTAGAAAAAAAAGTTAGAGAATTTCGCCCGTCTTGGAGAAACGCCCATATTCAGTTCAGGATGATAAAATTAGTGTGAACACCTTCTATCATTCACAATCCAACATTTGTGAATTCCGTCAATCCGTTTTAAGGGTTTGTAGGCTACGTGCGATTGGGGCATTTGTCCGAGAAGGGCAGAAATGCCCAAATCACATTTATAATAAAATAATTCATAGACAACATTCATACGCATGCATTTATTGCATTATTACTTAATAGGTAAGGGAAACTACTCTACTCTGTCAGCAGGTAAGTACATCGAATAAGGCAAAATATAGCGTAGTAAGTAAAAGCGAATGATGATCATAAAAAGCGTTGGTGGGTGCGTTGATAAATGCCTATGCAAAGGTCGTGTGTCGTGGGGTGTAGTATAGAGTGCCCCGTTTACGTGTATTTTGTATAAATACGGACGTATAGACTTTATAACATAAATATTTATAAAGTTTTGTTTTTCTTTTCTTCCTCGATGTCATTTACTTTTGCGTGACGCGTAGCGTTTTATGAACAAAATAGAATCATTTTCACGACCTCCGTGGGCGAGAGGCTCGCACATCGGTTTTTATTTTCCACTCTCTAAGGTTTTTATAGTGTCGCCATATCTGAAGTCACGGGTTCGATCCATGGCCGGGACAATGTAGAAACTAACTTTTCTGTACTGTTTCGGTTGTTTGTGCTTTACTTATTTACTTTGGGATCAAAGCAACGCTTGTACTGTTGTGTAATATTTGTAGTATTTATATTATGTACTTCATGTTATCAATGTCAAAATATTACAATAATTTAAAAGACAACATCACTAAGTAATAAAGACCACAATAATTCATATAACACAAAATTTATAAATTACCAATCTAAATATAAATAATATTAATATTAAAAAAAAACAGATAAGTAAAAAATAAATAAAATATTGTCAAGAATGCAACGATATCAAATAAAAATAAAATTGCAATTTCTTAAAAATAAACACCTCTACACTTAGAACTCATCAATAAAAGGAGTTTTAGTCGGGTATAAAACATTATAGTCGTTGTAACACTTTTTAGATTTGTGAGTGGGTGTTCGTAGAATCTGGTTTATCGTTGCCCGGTATTATGGTAACGGCTTGAAGTTTTTCCGGGTTTCGCAGTGTTCGCAGTGCTCGGCCTCCACCCTTACATTTTATATCATAAATCAGTCAGCATTCACAATAAAGCCAATGATATTACCTATACTATACGCCGTCATTTTCAGCCTGATCTATGGTGGATTTACCTTTCCTACAAGCCGTCATTTTCAGCCTGATCTATGGTGGATTTACCTTTCCTACAAATTAGTTGTCTGTCTATTGATTCAATTATTTTTGAAATATTCGGAATTATATTTAAGCTACTTTTCAAAACATTGAGATATACTCGTATACCTTTCGTATACATTTCATTTAATGGAGTAACGAGTATGTCGCCGATTAACGGCCAGGCTGACATTATACTTATAGAAACGAGATTTGGTACTTCCGAAGCGTTTTTGATGCATGCAGCGCTCCCCTCATCACCCTCTCCAACGAGACGGCCGCGAGTGCGTAATCTTTGAGAAACCGTTCAAATACTTAGAATAATAACGCATAGAATGATAGTTTCATATCAAACGAACTGTCACAAGTGAGGCAAAAA